TATGGCAAGACCCTGTGTCTACAAAAAAATTTAAAATTAGCTAGGTGTAGTTGGTGCATGCCTGTAGTCCCAGGTACTCAGGAGGCTGAGGTGGGAGGATCACTTGAGCCCAGGAGGTTGAGGCTGCAGTGAGCTGCGTTCACACCACTGCACTCCAGCCTAGGGAACAGAGTGAGACCCTGTCTTAAAAAAAAAAAAAAATTCCTAGGGACTCTGCTGACAGGGACCTCTGAATTTAGGTAGACAGGAATCATTCGTAATTAACAAATTCATTCGTTGACTATTAAAACTGCAGCTGAAATCTCGACCTGGCCTTACCTTCAAAATGGGCTCACGGTTCTTTTGTTGATACCGTGCGTGATTAGGGTAGAATCAGAGCTGGGAGAGATCACCCAACTCCCTCTTTTCACTGAGGAAGAAACAGCCCAGATCACTGCTAGCGACCTGCCCTCCTCCAGACACAGCAAAAGCACTGGAGTTTCACTGGCTGAAGCCCCACCCCCAAGGGATTCTCCAGATTGCTAGGGTGCTGCATTGGCTGGCTGTTGTTTTCTCTTTTCTAATAACCACAGTGGGCTTAAGGGGGAGTTCTAGTCCTTTCTGCATCAGAGATGGCTTTTATGCTAGGGTGGTTTGAGCATCTCTCAGCCTTCTGTTTTGACATGACATCCGCATCCTGTGGGAACAGAAACGGGTTCTTTCCAGTTGTACAATACCAAACAGAAGCAACAATAAAACCATCCATCCAGTCGACAAACATTTGTTAAACACCTACTATGTGCAACAATTGTGAGGCCCAGGGCCGCGAAGGGTAAAAGATGAACAATGTGTAATATATTACATGTCCAGGAGCTGCTAGCTGCTGTTCCTGCATTAACTTATTTCTGCTGAAAGTAGCCACCTTGCAACTTTTTCTGAAAGCAGACTATGCCAGGCGCTGTTCCAGACACTTTCCATGTATTAATTTCTGTTGTCCTTACCAACCTTCTGAGTTAGGCATTTCCCCCCATTTTACAGCTTGGGATGCTGAAGCCCAGAAAGAGTACTGAGGTCCAAGTACCATGTTCCAAGGTCCCTCAGCTTGGGCAGAGCTAGGAAGGGGCAGAGCTGGGAATCAAATCAGTGGCACCCCATTCTTCCCGTGTGAGGAGTATTTGAAACACAGACCTTTCCAAGAGACGAGAGAGGTAACAGAGAATCCGGTCTGATATCCCCGTTTACAGACAAACTATGACTCAGAGAGTGAAGGTGACCTACCTGATGTCACACAGCTGATTGGAGGCACGGCTGAGACCAGTCAGGTTCACTGACTCCCAGGCTGATGGTCTTTCCCCCTCAATAGCTGCTGAAATTATCAGCCCTGCACCTAACTGCTTCCTTCTGGGTCGCACCATGGCCAGAGCTCAGGCCCATGGCCTTGGCAGGTATCATGGACGCTTGGGGTGGTGGCACCTCTGACCCCCAAACTCCCTGTGTGCGGCTGAACTTGGCTGGAGGCCGATGCTCTGTGAGGAGCCAAATGTTAGAGAGGGTGAGAAATGGATTTTCCACTTAAGCTCGTCCTCACTGGCTCTGGGTGAGTGTTCTACTTTTCCGTTATCTACACACTCCTCTCTACAGCTGATCATTTCCAATCCAAGGGGCTTGGCCTGGCTTTTGGGCCCCTCCCTGACTTCGCCCCCGGTTTGTGGCCAGGCCAGTAGTTCCTGCAGACTGAAGCAGCCCACCGGCGCACGCTGGGCTCATCGTTTTGCATTCCTCATGGCTCCTGCCAAGGCTCCCCTCGAAAACCTGGCTCCATATCATTTAATCAAAGAAACAACTTGGAAATGGCCCAGATATGCACCCATATAGGGACGGCAAAGTCCATTCACTCACAGGCAACACGCAGACATATTCTCCGAAGGAAGCTCAGGATAATGTGAAACAGACTTGGGCTGTGACACTGGGGAGTGGACTGCCCAGCAGCCACAGCTGCGCCCAGACAGGTGCTTGAGAAGGGGACTTGTGGGGGGTATTTTTTAAATGAATTACACAACAGCTGGATTCAGAGAGTGAGGCTGCAATCATTTTTCCATTCTGGTTTTCAAACTTTGCCTATAGCTGCTAAGTTGGTTATATAAGAATAACAACAATAATAAAACCAGCTCCCTCCTGGGAGATCACTCTCCTGTTAGAACCCATGGAGAGGCCTTGCCTTCTGCACCCCTCACAGACACTGGGACCTGTGTTTAGAGTCACACTCCGCCTCCCTGCGAGGAGCTGCAGTGGGTGCGTGGGTGACTCCCAGGTGCTCAGGCCCCTGCCCCTTCAATGATGGAGACAATGTCTTGCCTGTCTTCTGACTTACGGCCACTTGCACACACATTGTTTCTCCCCACTCATAAACACACCGTCACACACCCTGTCTTTCCCCATTCACACACATTTCCCCCCAGGACTCTGGAACCGGTATAGTGTGAGGCCCACAATATAGGCCCCAGAGTGGACCCTTCCCAACACTGGCTGACTTGCTGGGGACAGCACTGGATTTGGGATGAACACTAAGTCCCTAGATTTGTACTCTCATGCTCGCAAAACTACCTGGGCTCTCATCTGGCTGAGATCTAGAGAGAGGTTTAAGGGGCTTAGAATATTTTCTGGTGATGGCTGGGCACCGTGGCTCGTGCCTGTAATCCTAGCATTTTGGGAGGCCGAGGCTGGCTGATTGCTTGAGCCCAGGAGTTTGAGACCAGCCTGGGCAATATGGTGAAATCCCATTTCTATAAAAAATACAAAAATTAGCTAGGTGTGGTGGTGCATGCCTATGGTCCCAGCTATTCTGGAGGTTGGGGTGGGAGGATTACTGGAGCCCAGGGAGGTTGAGGCTTCAGTGAGCTGAGGTCATGCCACTGCGCTCCAACCTGGGCGACAGAGTGAGACCCTGTCCCAAAAAAAGAAAAAAAAAAAGATATTTTCTGGTAAAAGCAAACAAAACAAAGCCTTATATCAGAGTGCCCAGGTTTGAATTCTGACTTCACTACTCACTGGCTGTGTGACCCTGAACCAGTTACTTGGCTTCTCTGTGTCTCAGGAATAATTTCTACCTTCTAGGGCTGTTAGGAGGACTCTATGACTTAATATTTGCAAAGCAGGTAGAATAATGCCCAGCGAATTGTACATACTACATAAATAAAAGAAAAAAAGCAACTATTTAATAGAAACCAGCTTTTGAAACCAGCATTCGCTGGCCATTCCCTGGCTGCGCCTCATTCATTTGGTATTTACTGAGTGCTTACTGAGTTTATTAGGCCAGTCATAAAGGGCACACGCCACACCATCTAGTAGGAATAACAGAAATAAAAAGACTTTTTTTTAAAAAAAGAAAAACAGGATCATTCTAAACAGAGATTTGCACACAACTCTAAGGAAGGCCAGAGAAAGAACATTATCTATTTCAGCGTAAACTTGAAAAAAACAAAAACAAAACAAAACAAAAAAAAACACCCACATTTCAATCCTTTGAATCCATTTAAAAGACTGAATTTGGTCTAACTGGTTTGCGCATTTAGACCAGGCTTCGATACACACAAGCCTTTTGGAAAATATTCCCATTCAGTGCCACCTATTCGACCTCTCTGGATGTTTTTCTTCCCCTTCCTCATCCGTCTGTCTCCTTGAACGCCCAGAAAATAATCTCTGAGTTCATCTCCAGCCCTCAGTTAACAGACGGGGGAGGCGATGTGGGTTCACTGAGACCAACCCTCAGTCATTTTAATAATCAATTTATAAATATTTGGGGAGAGGTAGGATTAGAGAAAAATCTCAGTAACTTGTAACGTGTCAACTAACGTCTCATTAAAAAATCTTGGTGCTTTAACTCAAACCACTTCGTAAGCCGGTATACGTACACTTGGTTTAATAACTGATGGAAAAATGAAATTCTGCCAATCCGCACCCCTCCCCCAAATCCACCGAATTCTCTTTAATGCAATCGCTTTGAATGCCCTGAACCGGGTCAGGCTGGCGTCTACGTTTGTGGCAGAAGCGGACCCTGTGGGGTCCCAAGCCCCGGGCGAGGCGGTGCCCAGGCGGGCGCGGCACGGGGTTTCCCGGCAGCCGCGCAGAGGCCCACCCGCCACTCTGGCCGGCTGCAGCGGGCGCGCCTACACCTTGCAAGACCAGAGCGCTGTGGAAAGCGTTCGGGGCTGTAAGCGACGCCTGGCACCAGCGGCAGGCCGGACTGCCGGCCTCCCGGCCCTTCCCGGGCGCACATTACCCGCGGGCCGCCCCCGCCGCCCACGAACTTCAGCTGGCAGACGCTGGACGTACGGTCTGGCGAGTTTCCTAAACTCCAGCGCCCGATCCGCGTCGTGGGGTCGGCTGCGCAGCGCGGGGATCTCGGTGCCCAGGCTCGGAGAGCGAGTGTCGCGCTCTCGGGCCGCGGCGGGGGAATGGGAACGCCGCCGGAGGCACCGTCTCCTCCCCCGAGACTGCGATATTGATCAAGGGCTCGCAGGCGCGGGCGGCATTAATCTCCCTGGACTCGCAGCTTGCCGCGGAGGAGAAGGAGCAGGACGCGCTCCCGGGACTGGGGCGGGGGCGGGCGGAGTCGGGGAGCTATGAGGGGGTGCTGGGGAGAGGCGGGGAACCCCGCTTCGGAGTCTCCCGTCCCGGGGCCGGGGTCTGCAGGGAGGGCGTGGGAGGCGGAACCCAGCGTCTGCCCCAAAGCCTAGAGCAATTGTTGGCGCGGAGACTGCTACCCGGGTGGGCGGACCCCTCCTCCGCCAACATCCCGGCGGCTCCGCCACGATTTCTTTTCTCACCTGAGTCTCCCCCTGCCCACCAAACCCTGGCTCCAAAGGTCCAGAGAGTTAGACTGCCCCAGAGCCCAGCCTTCCCAGACCTGACCGCAGCTCTCCTGGCGCCCCCGCCCCCGTCGCACCCAAAGCCGGGCCCCGTCCCGCATCCGCCCTGGGCTGGGGGCGCCCGCGCTGGAGGGCGGGCCGGCGGGCTCTTACCTTGACAAGCCGGAGCTGCGGGTGCCGTCCCATCGTCAGGCTCGCTCGGTTACCGTCCTGAACGCCCGGGTCCCCAGGCATCCCAGAGAGGCCGGTTGGGTGCTGCGGGCTCGGGCAGCACGCGGTGGGCGGCCGGACTCCTCGGTGGCTGCCAGGTGCGGAGGTGCCCGCTCCGTGCCTCCCGGCCCCGCGGCCCGGCCCGGCCGGCTCTCGCTCGCCCCTTCCCGGGGAAGTCTGGCCGCCGTTTTCCGATTCAGCCCGGCCGGAGGCCGCCTCTTGCCCGCCTCGCCCCTGCCGCCTCCCCCACGGTCCGCGCCGCTCCTCGCCTCGGCTCCCCGCCCCCTCGCCAGCTCGTCCCCTCCCCTCCCTCCCCCTCCCCTTCCCCCTCCCTCTCCCTCTCCCCTCCCCTCCTCTCCCCTCCCCTCCCCTTCCCTTCCCTTTGGTCCCTCCTCCGCGCCTCGCCCCTCGGCTCCCTCCCCGCTCCCTCCCCTTCCCCCGGCCCGCTGCCTGAGCCCCGCCGCCAGGATCCCCTTTCCCTACGCCCGGGTTTGCGGCAGTCCTCGGGGCGCGCTGGCGGCGGTGGCTGCCGCCGCAGCCCGGGAAGAAGCCGGGGATGGGGGAGGGGGCAGCGGGAGAGGATGCAGCTTCCCGCCTCCCGCCCGGCAGAGGTCCGGGCCTCGGATGTCCAGGGAAGCCGGGGGCACTTGGGCGGGGGTGCTCAGGTGAATTTATGAGGGCGAGGCTGTTGGTGGCCGTGGAACAGGGCGGTCCCCATTGAGCGAAGCCGCCGCGGAACCCGGGGAAGCTGCGACCTGCGTTTGGGCAGTTCCCGCCCTGCAGCGGGCTAGCGGGAGCTCCTCGCCTCCCCCACTCCAGCCGCGTCGGGCGCCGGGCCAGACTCCAAGCACCTTTGGCATTGACGTGCCTGGTGCGCACTGAGACGCGAACGAGCCCTGAACGCTGGATGAGCCCTTATTCATTTGTTCGTTCCTGCCTTCATTCGTTCATCTTACAAACTGAGTGCCTGCTCACTTTGGTACAGGCAAGGGGCCAGATCTGGGAACCTTTTGGACCTGGGAGCCCCAAGATGAAAGGGAGACGGCGGTGCCCCTCAGGACAAGCGGGCACTGAACGCAGCCTTGGGGAAAGCCGAGTGCCGATTGCGCTGCAGCGCGGCGAACGGGGCTAGGAGCCCGTGGGCAGGGCATGGGGAGGCCACAGCGCCCCCTCCCGGCCGAGCCCTCAGGGCAGCGTTGGGGCTCCGGCCAGACTCCGGGGTCGTCTTCTGGATTGGCTCACGAGTTCCCCATCCCAGGAAGCAACTCCCAGCCCTTCCGGATGAACAGAACTTTTGACGTCCTCTTCCCTCTTTCTCTCTCCTATCAGAGCTGATAAGGGAGAAGAGGAGTCACTGGGAGGTAGAGAAATCTTCACCCGCAGAGCCTAGGCTGCCTGGCCTATGCAATCTCTATTATAGGGTACACCAAAGCACCTGGGGCACTGGCAACCGGCTTTGAAATCAAACTGAACCCACCTGCCCTGCATCCTGCGCACTGCTGTGCCCACCCTACTACTCCCTCCCGCCCACTTCTCAGCACACTGGGCAAGAGCCAGCATGTTCATGGTCCACTGGCCTTCATTTGGGGCTGGAGTCATTTTAGGAGGTCATATGATCCAACATAGGGTTTACTGGTGAGAAAATGGAGGCACACAGAGGGTGGTGACCTGTCCAAAGTCCTACAGCTGGTAAGCCTAGTCCTCCCTCTCCTGATTCCCAGCTCACAGCACGTGGAGGGCTGGGCCCTGAAGGGGCCTGGGGCTCTGAAGTGGGGAGCGGCATTGCCCAGGAAGCCAGCTGCTCACATGGCTTAGCCACACACCTGGCACTTTCTAGGTGAGGCACACAGTCCCAAGTCTTGCAAAACCCGCATGGTTGTGCCGAGCTGGGCACTGACTCACCCCAGCCAACCCCAGATGGGATGGACGTGTTAAGTGGATGGCCAACGAACTGGTCTCAACAACAGGTGCAGGGCAGTCTGATGTCATGCAGGTTCTGGAGTCAGACGGCCTGACTTTGAATCTTGGCTTTTCCACTTACGAGCTGTATAGTTAGATAATTATTTAACAATGCCTCAATTTTCTCACCTATATAATCGGGGTAGAAACGCTACTTCTGAGAACGGTTGGGGAGTTAGAAGGAGCTGATATTTGTAAAGAGCTTGGAACGGAGCCTGGCAGATAGCAAGAACTTAATGAGGGTTAGCTGTAGTCACCAATACTATCATCATCATCATCATCATCATCAACATCAACATCATCATCAGATGGAGTGGACTGGATGCTCAAGTGTGAGGGGCAGCTTGGTCCCTCTCTCGAGGTAATTCTTTGTGGGCAGCAGAATTCTTGATCAGAAAGTCACCAGCAGCAGTAGATTTGGGAATCAGAGAAGAAGCCGGTTGGTCCTCTGGGAGCTTTGTCCAGGCCCGGCCAAGGCCCCGCTCCCTCCCTGGCCCCACCTTGGAGCACACTCTCTAGGGACTAGACAGTTCCAGCTTCTGTGTTTCTCTCTGCTTAATAAACACCATCAAATTTTGCCTCTCGGAGCCCCATTATCCTCTCCTTGACATGATCTTTAAATATGCTAATGCCATCGATTGGCCTGCAATCAAGTCTGGCTTTTTTGCCCAGGAGTCAGACCTTCTCGATTTCTGAAGTGGCGTCTACAGACAGCACATTTCATCCTGTCTGTGTTGATTTCACTGACTTACCCTCCATCCCACCACATCCCACCACAGCTGCAGACTGGCAGATAGGGGGAGGGAGGCTTCTGCCTAATTCCTCGACCTACTTATTTATAGTTTTGGCCTTGACAGCCTCAGGGGGGTTATGAGAGTTTGGTGCTTAACAGTCCCTCTGTAAAAAGGTTCAATATCCCGTTTCATTTGTCCTGAAGCTACTTTCTTTCACCTTCAAGGGCCTGGCTCTCATCCCCTGGGCTTGGTGAAGATGCTAGTGTCTGCCCTGTCCCTCCTTCCCATATCCTGCCTCCCCTCTCAGCCCCAGCCAGAGCAGCCCCTGCACACCCTCCTCAGGACAGGCTCCTACTCCATTCCAGCATTCTTTTCCCAGCCTGATCTTCCCCAAGCTCTCTTCTCATCCCATCCCCCCTTTGCCCTCTCCCCTTCCTGTCCAGGCCTGCAGCAGAATCGGCTTTCATTCATTTAATCTGCCAGATTTGGAAGAAAGGAGAAATGTGAGGATTCCAAACAGGAATAAAAGACAATTGCTTGTCCTTCCAAACAGTAGGAGAGACAGATTTGATGTAATGATCGGTGAGACCCAGGTGGGGAGGGCTGAAGAGACACCTCCTGCCTGTGAGGTTCCGCTGGCTTAACCATCCCAGGAAGGTTGATGGTCTGGAACCATAATTCTCAGACAACTGTGGCAGAGGACTGGTTCTGTATTTTTATATTTCTAATCTGTCACAGGCCAATATGATTGCAAAACACTGCAGGAATGAATTATTAGAAAAATACAATAAAAGGCAAGTTGTGGTGGTTCCCACCTGTAATTTCAACATTTTGGGAGGCCGGGGCAGGCAGATTACTTGAGGTCAGGAGTACAAGACCAGCTTGGCCAACATGGTGAAACCACATCTCCACTAAAAATACAAAAATTGCCTGGCATGGTGGTGTCCGCCTGTAATCCCAGCTACTTGGGAGGCTGATGCAGGAGAATCACTGGAACCCGGGAGGCAGAGGTTGCGCTGAACCCAGATCTTGCCACTGCACTCCAGCCTGGGCAACAGAACGAGACTCTGTCTTAAAAAAAAAAAAAAAAAAAAAAAACAGAAAGAAAAAGAAAAGAAAAAAAGAAACATACAATTAAAAAAAAAAAAAAAGAAAATGAAAGCCCAGTTTTAAACACAAGCACATCATATGGATATAAAACTATTCTGTCAAATGGCTTAAAAATGTGTAAATGTGGCTGGGTACAGTGGCTCACACCTGTAATTCCAGCACTTTGGGAGGCTGAGGTGGGTGGATCACCTGAAGTCAGGAGTTTGAGACCAGCCTGATCAACATGGTGAAACCCTGGCTCTACTAGAAATATAAAAATTAGCCAAGCATGGTGGCACACATCTGTAATCCCAGCTACTCAGGAGGCTGAGGCAGAAGAATTGCTTGAACCCCGTAGGTAGAGGTTGCAGTAAGCCGAGATCGCGCCATTGAACTCCAGCCTGGATGATGAGAGTAAAATTTCATCTCAAAACAACAACAACAACAACAACAACAACAACAACAAAAACATGTCTAAATGCTTACTCTCCATTTCTGCACTTAGCTGGTCATAACCCAGCAACATGTAGTTTGCAGACAGGTGCCGGTCTGTAGATCATGCTTAGAGTAGCACTGGTCTAAAAAGTTTGTAACATGAGGCTGGGAAAGTGGCCTCTTTAAAATCCCATGAACATTGGGGGATATTGTGTTAATTACTCCATTCATCTGTGCCTACATTCAACAAACATTTAATGAGGAGCAACTATGTACCAGTCACTGTTGGACACTGAAGCTAATAAAGATAAATATAGCAGGGTCCTGGCCCTTAAGATGTTCACAGGCTGGAATGGGAAGCAGCCACTTTGATAAATAATTAAGAGCTAGTAAAATTAGGTCAACAATAGATCAGGCACTGTGGGTGTGGAGGCAGGAATATTAATTCTGCCTGAGACCAATGGGGAAGACTCTACCAAGGAGGTGATGCTTGTGCTGGGCTTTGGAGGCAGAGAGGCAGGTGTTTAATCCCATATGGCCAGCCGGCATTCAATAGATGAATTAAAATGTGTGAAATGTTCAGCGCAGTGCTTAGCACATTGTAAATGCTTCAAATGTTTGCTGCTTTTATTATTCAGTATTAAGAATGATTGTCATTGTTACTATTCACGTGTATCTGCCCGACACTGTGCTTAGTTTGGCATGGGGTTGTGGAAGTCACCATAGGTTATTCAGTTGGGGAAGGAGGCGATCTGGCTTTGAGCCCACCTCCTTTGTCAGAGGAAAGATTTTTCTGGAAGAGGTGGGCTGGGAGCTGGGTATTGAAGGAAGTGTGTAGGGACATGTGAACGAGGGAGACTTTTAAGGCAGGAGGGTCGCTTAGAGACACAGCCCAAGGAACAAGTATAGGGCAGGGGAGGAGACTGGTCTGAAGGGAACAGAAGATGGGACAAGGCTGGGGGTTGCAGGGGACGGGGCTGTGGATTTTCCAGGCCTTTGGATAAGGAGTGTGATATTCTTCATTCTCTCACTTAGAACAACAAAAAATA